CGCGGGGGGAGGGGCAGGGGCGGGGGCGCGGGCACCTTGGCATCGTAGAGCACTTTGGCCTTGGTGGGGTCGGGCTCGAAGCAGAGAACGCGCTCCCCCCGGTGGAACTTCCATTTCATGCCCCGCGAGGTCATTTGCTCTTCATGGCGGAGCGGCGACGAGCCCCGCCCCCTCCCGGCCGCGAGGGCGGAGCCTGCGCCGAGGCGGAAGTTGGGGGGGGCCCGCTCCCTCCTGGCCCCGCCCCCCCACCTGGGATTGGCTGGGGGGTGGGCGTAGGGAGGACACGTCACGCGCTGCCCTCCACCTCCTCCTCCCCTTGCTGTGTGTAGGCCCTTCAGCCAGCTGGCTCCAGCGGTTATGCAAATGAAATGCGCCGTGACGTGAGCTGCGCGCGCGTCCCTTGCTGCCCCCCGCACCTCATGGGGCGGGGAAAAGTGCGCCCCCGGCTGGCGCGCTGCTGGTGTTGCCCAGCGTGGGGTGATTGTGTGTGGATACGAGCGTTTCAGCCCTTGTACGAGGCACGTGCAATGTACAAGGAAAGTATGTGGTAGCCGTGTTAGTATAAGACCAAAAGAAATGCAGAAATCTAGAACTCCTGCTTTCAAAATTGACACCTTGTATTATATCCGCTGAGAAATCTCAACAGAGAAAAGCCCCAAAGTTCGCAGAAAAAGATTTTTTTTTTTTTTTTTTTTTTTTTTACAGTTTCTCAGTCAGTCTAATAAAAGGTATCATTTTGGAACCAAGAGTTCTTGCTCTTTTGCATGTAGAGCAAAAGGCGTTCAAAACACAATAATTTTTGAGGCAAGGAATTGACGCAGTCTATACAAAACCCAAGTCACTCGCAGGCAGTCATAACTGACTGGAGTTTGGGGGGCTTTTTTTTTTTAATTAAAATTTAAATCTTCCCCACCACGCACGTTAAAAAGAAAACAGTTTACATCACTTTACATAACGCTTCTTTAAACTAACATCAAATCTCCTTATTTACATCCTTTAACTTCTGTGTTTCTTCACAAATAACATTAGCTGTCTTTTTTATTTTTTTAAGTAAAACGTTTCATGTCCCAAGCCAAATGAGCCAAATCCATGAGTCATTCAAGAACCATATGTGGCCCAGCTACCGGCAAACATCCTCCACCCCAGCCTGGGGCTTCAGATGCTTCCAGATCATTTGGCGGGCATCCTACGTGCAGACTCAAGACCGGAGGCATGGCGTTTGATGCCCCCGAGTTTCGCTTGCTCTCAGCCATATGGCCACAGGAGCAAGTTAGGAAGAAGTCTCCCATTTCCATAAAGTCGGTGTATAGCCAAGATCTTCCCACTGGAAGTGAAAGTGGGAGGCTAACTATACATTACCTGGGTCAGGGTACTGCCCCCTGCCATGTTCGTGGTTTTCCCTTGCAACTAGGAAAACCAGATTGGTGGTCATGGTATTTCCCCTGCCAATACACATATTTGGATATACAGGCATACCTCGTTTTATTGCGCTTCGCTTTATTGCGCTTCGCAGATACTGCGTTATTTACAAATTGAGGCAAGACCCTCCAGCAGCAAAAAGATTACGACTCACTGAAGGCTCAGATGATGGTTAGCATTTTTTAGCAATAAAGTATTTTTTAATTAAGGTATATACATTGTTTTTTTAGACATAATGCTATTGCACACTTAATAGACTACAGTATAGTGTAAACATAACTTTTATATGCACTGGGAAACCAAAAAATTTGTGTGACTCGTTTTATTGCGATATTCGCTTTATTGGGGTGGTCTGGAACCGAACCCGCAATATCTCCAAGGTATGCCTGTGTGTGTGTGTGTGTATATATATATATATATATATATACATATATACACACACACACACACACACACACACACACACACCCCCCTAGTAATTTTTTATCGCATACCTTAACCCACAAAAGGAAATCCTTCAACTTTGAAGACCCAGTCCTCATTCACTGGCAATATAGTGAACAATATAAAGTAAAGAAGACTTCTTTGCATGCTTATTTGCATATTTTACAGTGTATGGTCATTTTTCAGCAAATCCGATCATTTTGACCTTCCAGTATGATAATTTTATATTTGAGACCTGGCAACGCTGCGCGCAGCGGGCTCCAGCCCCAGGGACTTAGCTACTGCTCCCTTCCCTTTGGCTTCAGGTGTGCACTAAGCAGCCTGTGGCCTGTCCCTTGTGTGACAGTGCACATGGAGCATGCTTCTTGGAGCCCTGGGACACTACAGCACCACCCAGATGGCAGGAGAGACATGTCCCTGTGCTAGGGGTAGGTGAAAAGGCAGGAAAGGTCCTGAGGGGACATGACTGTGGGCAACAATGGCATCGGGGTCGATGTGGGAGGCAGGATGGTCAGTTCACTAAAAACACATGCATCAAAAAAGGCCAATGACATGTTAGGGATGATTAAGAAGGGTGTATACACCACTAAATGCAGAAAGTCCACAGGGATTTCTTATTTGCTCCCTTTCACAAGACAAGAATTGGAGGGATCACAAAATGAAACAAGTGGGCAGCATGTTTTAAATTAACCAAAGAACATTCTTTTCTCTTCCAGGGTGCCTTGGACTTGTGGCACTCCTTGTCACTGGAGATGGTGGAAGATGCCAGGACAGCCAGCTGCAAAAAAGGGTTGGACAAGTTCTTGGAGGAAAAGGGAACCAGGAGATATTGAGCATGGGAGTTAGGGGCACTGCCTCTGAATTCAAGCTTCCTAGACCATAAATGCTGAAGGCTACACATGAGAGAGGAACAGTGGAAAAAGCCCTGGTCAGACCCAGTCCACTCTCCCTTTCAGCATCCAATCTCTGCTACTGTGCATGTGACAGGATACTGGGCAAGAGGGCTTGGGCTTTTCTATTTGTATTAGGCAAAGATCGTGATGGAAATCATACTTCTTAGAAAAGGTGGAGAACTGTAGTCTAATGAAGAGTGGCATAACCAGGGTGGGGTGATCCAGGCAGCTGCACTGGGTGCTGACTTGGGGAGTCAGCTATGGGACAACTGCCCTGGGCACCCGGCTGTATCCTTATGCCTCTGCAGATGAACATTAAAGTTTTCTGAGAAATAGAACTGAGTCTTAAGGAATCTCCTTCCCTTGAAGCAGAGAGCCATGTTGAAGGGTTGAGAAGTTTCTAGCAGGAGAAATACTTGCTTATCTCTTTGGGTCTTCATTTCTCCGTACCAGGACTGTCCAGCTCCACTGTCTGTACATCCACAGCAACTCAAGCTTTACTCCAGAAGACTGGGAAGAAGGAAGTCAGGGTACAGATAGAATCTCACAACAATGAACTTCAAGTGAGGACTGAATTTAGATCTTTATACTAATTTTTTTATACCAAAAACTGTAAAGGTACCTATATTATTTAAAATAAGTTAGGCCTTTGTACCACATAAGCAGAAGCCTTGTATTTTGGGCAAAGTCTGTAATTTTGCATTGTACAAGATGGAGTTGCACCTGTTAAAAATTCTTCTGGACCATTTAGTTGTGCAAAGACTGCATCAGGAACTGACATACAAATAGGAAAGAACTGCTGCAGTTTTTCTAGAAATGCTGTGGCTTTTGATATGGTTTTGACTGGCTGCTCTGCTACTTTACTGAACTCATCCTCATCACTTTCAGTGTCAGCTTCTTCAGGCTTTGCTCTACTCAGTAAACTTCCAACATTCTTAGTTCCAAGCAATGGATACATTTTGCAGCCTTTAAGTCTTCAAAACCTACCTTATCTGGAACATCTGTCAGTCATGTAGCAATAAACTGTGGAATGCAGACATCAAGTTTATTGATTTTTTTATGTTAGCATCAGAAATTATGACTGGCTTTGACTAATATTTCACCACTCTAGATTTTTTAACAAACTACCCAGCTGCAGCAATCATGTAAGCAGCTTCCATGAGGTCAGTCTTTTCTTACTCTTGATTGTAGAGATTGGAAAGAAATTGCATTAGGAATCAGCTTCTGTACTGAGTATTTAAAGAGCAAATTATACTTTGATCCAGGTGCTGCAAAATGGCAGGACAGTTGAGCAGTCGAAACTCAATCTGAACTTATTCTAGATATTGGAGCCTGTTAATGTGCAGAGCAGATCTCAGCATTAGCATCTTGCTGTCTCCCAGTTTTATGTTTGTATCAACCTTTACCAAACATATGCTTAAGTAGACTTGTGTCATCCACACACACATCTGCTTGGAGAGTAACTGTATGAGAATGAATGCACCTTCTTGAAGTTAGCTTATTTGCCAAAAACCTGCGGTCTTAGCTTCTCAGTGCCCAATGCATTTCAACTGAAGAGTTCAGTCAAATATTCCTTGGATTTCATGCCCCTTTTGCCACAGGTATAACATGTGGTAGCAGGTGATAAAACATACCTGTTTCATCAAAGTTAAAAATGTCATCTGGCCTGTAGTTTCCTGCGTTTCATTTCTTATCCTTATCTACTGAAACATCATTTTCTTCTCTGAAGATTTCTTTTGATACAATTCTGTGATGCAGTCTGTTATGGAATTCAAGCCAGTGAAAATTTGTTTGAAATTCACCAGGTCCAAAGAAGGCTCAAAGGTCAATGCTTTTGGCTGAAGAACATTCCCATTTATGGGAATATTCATTGCACCATATTTCCAGAAATCAAGCAAATACTGTACAACATTGTCATCATCATAATAGAACACACCATGCGTTCTCTTTCATTTTGAACACAGAGTCTCATGATTCCCCTTCTCATTAAATGTTAGCATGGACCTTCAAATCTGTGATAACACTGAGGGAGTAATTTGTAAATCTTCTGCCACATCTCCCTTTTTCCATAACTTTAATCTTTTCTTGCAATGAAAACTACAGGCATTTTCTGTTTTCCTTGTCAGTCATGATGGTGGGAAATGTTCTTCTGTACCAGGGTTTTAACCCCATGTCTGTGGGCTATACCTTCTGGCACCATATGATCCAACCCAGGGGGAAAAATCCTAAATTTTGCACAGTTTGAGATTAAAGAGCCTTCAGGGAAAGGCTATGTTCATTCCAAAGAAGCGAAGGGAAAAAGCCCTGCTCAGGTGAACCATGTTATGAATTCTGGGAAGCACAATGGGTGTGGACTAAAATTTGATTAACTGTAACACCTATAGAAAGTGAAATAAATGCAGACACCTTTAAAATGGCTTTATGAGCACTCG